TAAAATTAATGAAGTGTAATTTAGAAAAAGCAACAGTAGCAAAAAGAACTGTCTGACAGAACCATTTCAGGAAATATCAAAAGATCGAGAAACAATTATAATAAAAGAAGTTAAAGATAGCCTCAAAGCAAAAAGAGGCCCCATGTTATCAGTGGGATACCAAATAGATTATAAAAAGAGGGCCAAATCATCACATACATATACATACACAAAATTGTAGTTGCCTGCAATATTAAGTACAAATTATTATAAAGAGGATAAAAACCACACACGCAAGAAACACAAAAGCCCACTGCCCTGGAGTTGATGCCAACTCATGGCATCCCTTCATTGGGTTTCTGAGGCTATAAATCTTTATGAGAGGACACTGCCCACCTTTTTCTTGTCAAACCCCACCTTTCTTCTTTTCAAGCATCTGTTTGATTTTAACCACGACCTTATGGTTAGCAGCTCAACACATAATCCAGTATGGCACCAAAGATCCTCATAAACAGAGCAGTAAATTTAAAAGTCCATACATCTGGATTTTCAACAGGGTGCTCTGATGGTATAGTCTTAGAGAGTTGTGCTGTTAACCTAAAGGCCTTGCTTCTCTGGCATTTCAAATTCATCTGCTATTCTGAAGGAGAAAGATGGGCAATCTCCTCCTTTGTAATTTACAGTCTTGGAAACCAAATGAGAGGCCAGGCAGGTACTGATTCTGGCAGTGAGATTTAAAATTTTTAATCCATTTCATTCTATGATAGTGAATGTGTGTTATATACATTTATTAGAGAACTATGCAATTTCAAATAATCTAAAGGGAGAGTGTGAATTACAGAGGGAATATGCTCAATAGAGTCACATGAAAACTTCTAAGACAAATTAATATATTGTAAGATATTTAATTATTAATTACTGAGCACCTTTTGTCAAAAGAGAGAACTCAACTACACTTTAATTTTTCTGCTAATGAGATCAAATTGCAGAGTATCTTATGTTTCCACTAAAGACTTACTTTTAATGGCATAGAACAGAGTCGTTTGGCATTTACCAAATAGAAATATTACAGGATCTGGAGTCTTCACTTTTCTTTTATTAGTACTTAAAATGTGAATTTATTTATAAAATCTTCCACAGCTTGAGACCTTGTTATTTCAGAGAGCAGGAAGGTAAACACTCACAAATTAGGTACATGATTTAAGTTTTTGGAACCCTGAGGCTTTAGGTTATTTTCTGTAATAAGTTCATGAAATAAATGTATTTGGCTCAAATTGTGATTTCTCAAAACTAAATATAAGCATAAAAATTGAAAACAACAAATTAAATCAATTCATGGCTCATATTCATGTTTGAATCAGATTTCCAATTGCCTGCTGTTTCTATGCTAAATGACCAAATGACATTCTTTCAAACTTAATTTTCTTTTCTCTCCTAAATACCCAGTACTTATTATTTCTAATTTTTTTTATACTACCACCAACATCAAGTATTTTATTTAAGAATAATTTGAATAGGTATTAAAAAACCCCTACCAACTAGTAATAGGAAGGAACATATCAGGTGTTTAGTCAAACATGGATTTCAAGGTGGTTCCAACAATGTTTTAAAAGGGAAATATATATGTTCTATTTCCTATGGACATGAATTTCTAATCCTTTAAAATAATTTTAATTAAAAGATATAAGAAAATATCAGAGTCAACTAGTTTTTTTTAAAAAATTATGAACAGTTCACTATTAACTTCTTTGAAAAGATTTACTCATTTTAAATTTATCATTCTTAACATATGTTGTTGCTTGCCTTCCAGTTAGAACCAACTCATAGCCGACCCCCAGTAGGTTTTCAGAGGCTGAAAAATGCACAGGAGGAAACCGCACATCCTTAGTCCATGCATCACCCGGAGCATTCAAACTGCATGTTCTTGGGATTTCAGTGCAGCTTCTGAAAACTAGGCCCAGAGCTTCCTTTTTAACATAACGTTCTTGTTGTTGAATGCTGGTGAGCTGAGCAGGACTCATAGCGAGCGACTTGAACAAAAGACCTAAGCCATTCTATAACTATCATCGTTTCCAAAGTTCATAGAGTTTCCAGAGGCATGTTGTTTAGGAAATGGATGCCATTCTTAATAGCACTAACTTAATTTCTTTGGGAGCACTGCTAATGTAGTCCACAGAATGGTAAGTTACTAACTCAAAAGCAGCACCTCTCTGATGGTTCAAAATTATCAGTGACAGAACAAATGTGGGCAATTGGCTCTTCTAAGATTGACAGCCTCTGAAAACTTGCTGGAGAGTCAATTATGAGTTAATTCTGACTTAAAGGCAAGGAGAGAGCTTAAAACACTTCTTTGCCTTAAAGTGCCAAAGAGTTTCAAATTTTATATTCTAAATAAGTCTTCTTTTTGGTGGTTGTTTTAATTGCTTATTAGTAGACTGAGATTATCTGTATGGTAATCTCAAGGAAGAGATCCCTTCGTGTCTGGCTACATACCAAAAGCTGCTACTTTGATGATCACTGCTTGAATGTTAGATGTTATCATTTCTCGGAGCAAGTCTTTTTGGTTTCTCTGCCAAAGGTAAGCTAGAGGCTGGAGATTAAGCCTTTTACACCTATAAAACAAACAAATAAAAAACCAGATGATATCTTAATGTTCTATACTTGAATCGATAGCAATTACTTTTATTTTAAACATAATGTATCTCTCAAGGATTGCAGCATTTAAAATACTTTAAAAAACATGTTTTGCATAATGAAGTTTATATATATAATATAAACATATTTAATTTCCACAGGCTATGCATAAACAGATAAAATGAAATCTCCAGACAGATTAAAATATACTTTTAGTAAGATTCTAAATTTAGAAATCTACTAACAAATGATTATTCCTTTTTTGTAACTTTCTTGGGTATCCAGAAAATAGATAAATAGAATTGTTCTAGTAAGGCAAACACATATTTTGATTAAATTTATAATACTTCTAGTTACATGAACTATTCTTGTCTACTATACTTTGAAATATTTTTGAGAACTTGGTTCTAAGTGTAAAGGACATATATGATGTTATCCTAAAAAATGCCTTTTTAAAACTATTACAGTTGGCCCCTTCTGGTCTTCAGCTACCTTAAATGCAGACACATGGTCTTGCAAATCAGTATGGTCTTGTAAACCACCAACAGCTGTGGGATTAGTATATGAGAAAGAGTGCTTCCCACCTAATGTATCAAGACTTGAGTTGAGCAAAACTTGTGGCTGCAAGACTTGTGGCTGCAGGACTTGAGGGAGATGGGGCAAGATCTGGGTAAGAGCGAGACTCTGCTGGTGGTGGTGGTGATACTGTGGCAAGGTGTGACCTGAGGCATTTGGCATTTGTGCTGACCATAGTCAAAGGTTTTTGCTGTTCTTACGGGATGCTTGAAGGAGAAGCTGACTTATAACCGCTCTGAGGCAAACCTTACTGGATGATTTGGATTTGACTACTGAACCGCAACTGGAGCCTGAACTAATTGAGAAATAGTGCCTTGGAACTTGAACTAAAACCTGAACTTGTAGTGGGTAATATTCTTTGCCTCTCCGACTCTCTAACTTACTCCCCTAATAAAACCCATTCTCAGTACCACAATTGTGAGTCTGTGAGTTAACAACAAACAACAAACCTCTTGCTGTTGGTGTGGCTCTAGAGGCACCATGGAGCTTGGCTATGGGCTCTTTATCTGCTTTCTGCTCTCGGACAAGAAGGGGCTGTGCTATTTTTACTCCACTGGCCCTTTCAGGCGGAGGCTCATGGCCCTATGCCTAATGTTCCATTTTCTACTCTCAAGACACAAATGAGTATTCCTATATTTATAACTTCCTTTAGTATCCCAATTACAAAGCAACTGGAAAATAGGAAATAAATTTGTTCTAGTAAGAGAAACATTTAAACATTAATAATTAAATTTACAATACCTATTGTTACATAAACTATTCTTTTGTACTGCATTTTGAAATATTTTTGAGAACTTCATTCTATATGAAAAGTACATAACTGCACAAAAAGTACATTTGAATGTCTAATATGTTGTAAGGATTATACTAGATAATATGTTTGGTGCAGTAGAGAGAATATGGGCCTTTGAGTCCAGATAAAACTGAGTTTCAAATATGGTTCTGAAACTCACTAGTTGTATGGCTTCCACAACTCAATTAAATGAAGTCTCTGCCATTAGTTTCCTGCCCATACATAAGAATAAAAATATTTCCTATCAAAGTTCTTGAGACGATTAAAATGTTGGAAGGGAAGTCCTCCTTTACTTTTCTATCCTTTATTTTCCACATCCAATATGTCACTATGCAGAATCCACTTACTCCTCACCTATACCACCTCCTAGTGTCATCATATGAGCCACCATCACCTCTGGAGTCAACATCCTTCTTATCTTCCCACTCGTCTCTGACTTTTTAAAACCTGTTGTTGTGGTGTACTGTAGAGTGGGAATCTACTCATAGCTGACCCTCTGGTAGTTTAACTCTATGAACTTTGATAAATGATGATAGTTATAGAAAGTTTCAGGCCTTTCGTTTATAGGATTGATATGAGTCTACTCCATACTATGGCAATCAACAACAACCACTACATAGTATTTGAAACACTGTTTTTGTTATATGTTATTCAGTTATCTACTACCATTTGCAACTCACTGAACATTGTCTAGTTTTAAACATCCTCATAATCATTTCCACTTTTGAGGCCATTTTTACAGCTACAACATTGAGCTATTTTATTAAGGGTCTTCCTCCTTTTTGGTAACCTTGTACTTTACTATGCATAATCTCTTTCCCTTGGAACTGGCCATTTCTGATATTAGGTCCAAAGAATATGAAATGAGGTCTCAATATATTGACTTTTATGGTGTATTACAGGCTATATGTTTTCTAAACCAGATTTACTTTTTCTTCTTCCAATGTTGTTGTTATGTGCCTTCGAGTCGCTTGTGACTCATAGCGACCCTATGTACAACATTTCTAAACTCTGCTCTGTCCTGTGCCAATCGCACTGTCTCTGACAATCCCATCTTGATTATCCCACTCACTGAATCAATCCACCTCA